TCAGCTACAGTGAATGTGAACGTGGCGGTGGCGGACAGCTTCCCTGAAGTGCTCTCGGAATTCACTGACTTCTCACAAGACAAGGATTACAATGACAGCCTGACTTTTTATTTAGTTATGTCTTTAGCTATTGTCTCCTTTCTTTTTATTGTCTCCGTCATAATTTTGATATCAATAAGGATCTACAAATGGAGACAGTCTCTCATCCTGTATAAATCCAACCGGAATCTTCCCGTGTTTCCAACTGCGTATTATCCACCTTCTTACGCAGATGTTGGTGCAACCGGAACGCTGCAGCACGTGTACAATTACGAGGTGTGCTTGACCACTGACTCGAGAAAGAGTGATTCCAAGAGCGCCAGACCCTGTCGTCAAAGTATCGTTAGTCTTGTTACGCAAACGCTCCCGCATATGCAAAAGGAGAGAGACTCTAATGAAGACACAGCTCTTAACCAAGAGGTGAGCGCTGTGCTTATTAAATATATAATTTAAATGTATTGAACTGCATTTAATTGTATTCTGTTGTAACTGTAGGGTTCATGTGATGGTGGTTATACACTCTGACCGTATGAATGGGAACTAGAAGGAGATGGATATTCTTTTAACAGTTCGTTGCTGATCACCTACAGCCTTCTCACTCTCTCTCTTCCTGATCTCTTGATCCCATTTCCCAATCACGTTCTTCCTGTAACCAATCAGGAAACACGGGAAGTTATATTAACGTTAATCTATCTACAAATTGAAATAGACGATTCTACATAACTCAAAACTATTTAATTCATTTTAAACTGCTTAACTGAATAAAACAACAATAATAGGACCTAAGCTTACACTATTATTATTGTTGTTGTTTTGAGAATGTCATATTAATGAATTTATTTCACTGAGCCGTGAGTTCCATTAGCAAATTAATATTATTATAAATATAAAAGCAGCATCAAAATATAACGTTTTCGTATTACGGCAGTTTAACTTTTAAAAAGTGTAGGACAAGATCATGTTGTACGCCTATTCATTAAAAATCCGTGCTATTTATGGAGCAAATTTTTTTTTACGCATTGAGTTTTGAATCAGAAAACGTGATACATTCATCTCTTGAAGATGAAGGTTTATACAGCATGTATGTAAGTGGCACGTAGTAAATGTGTACCCTTCATTAAAATAAGTATGACGAAATTAGGCTCAAAAGTTCTTAGACAGTTTTGGTGTAATTTCAGTTGTGTTTAACTGTATTATTAAGTTTATGTGTGATTCGTTGTGAATTAAGGAGTTTTGTCTTTGATTTCCTTCTCAGTGAATATACAGTATGGTATTTTGAAATTAAAATGCGCTCACTGGTGTTGTTTCTAAGAGCTGTTAACTGCAACGTGCGCTTGCATTTATTTCCTTCTCTTCAATTTGTGTTTCTGTTCCATTAACAGAAGCCTGTGCCAGCTTTTCTATTTCAATATTTACAGTATTTCACACTTTTTAAGCGCTTGATTGCAATTTTGTATTAGAACTCTAAGTGCCGCTGTTGAATAGTGGTGGTAGCTCATTGCATGTAGCGATCCTGCAGGACCTCCCAGTATTGCACTCTATAACACAGACTGAAAAGGGAATTCAACGTTTAGACCGCTTGGATTACAAAACAGAAACCGCGTTTGCAGAATATCAAAACCATTTCGGATAATCTGCTTCTTAGAAGTGCGTTCAAGGAAAATGTATCATTAATTATTCTATCTCGCGATATTGCACAGATTTCAATAATTTGTGTGTCAAATACTGGATTTTCTGGAGGTGAAATCGTCAGCAACAATATGCCCTGGACAATGAAATGGCAAGTACGATTGTTTGTTTCCTGCTTCTTTATTGCGAATGTAGTCTTTGGTCAGGTCAGATATTCTATTCCAGAGGAAATGACAAAGGGATCGTTTGTAGGAAATATCGCGCAAGACTTGGGCGTTGATATTAAAAGACTGAAATCTGGCAAAGCTCGGGTTTTTACTGGTGGCAGCACGGAATATATTGAGCTGAACCTCGATAAAGGAATATTGGTTGTCAAAGACAGAATAGACCGAGAGCAGATATGCCGACAAACAATTCCTTGTAGTATACATTTTCAGATTGTGTTAGAAAGCCCAATGGAGCTACACCGAGTGATTGTTGAAATACTAGATGTAAACGACAATGCGCCCACCTTTCCTAAAAAAGAAATTAGGCTGGAAATGAATGAGTTAGCTGTGCCTGGAGCTCGTTTCCTATTAGAGAGTGCAGTGGATCTGGACGTGGGAGTAAATACATTACAAAGCTATACTCTTGAACCGAGTGATCATTTTGCTTTAAAGTTACACGCCCGTGCAGATGGAAGTAAATACGTGGAGATGATGCTTCAGGCACCTCTAGACCGAGAGAAACAAGAAGAGCACAATCTGATTTTAACAGCCAAAGACGGCGGGGACCCACAGAGATCCGGTAGAATGAAAATACACATTATTGTACTGGATGCCAATGACAATGCCCCGGTATTTTTACAAGCCTTGTATAAAGCAACTGTCTCCGAAAATGCTGCAAAGGGCACCGTTGTTCTAACAGTTAGCGCTTCAGATGCAGACGCGGATTCAAACGGTGAAGTAACCTATTCCTTTTCGCACACCACTGCTAGCGTTTCAGAGCTTTTCAGTATACACCCACATAGTGGTGAAATACTGGTTGTAGGCGACATAGACTATGAAACTGTTAAATCTTGTGAAATAAATATCCAAGCACGGGACCACGGAGGTCTAACAGACTCCAGTAAGGTAATAATTGAAATCAAAGATGTGAATGACAATGCTCCCACAATTACGCTAATGTCGTTCTCCAGTCCCATTCCAGAAGACTCCTTGCCTGGCACTGTCTTAGCCATGCTTAATGTTGAAGACAGTGATTCAGGAAACAATGGGAAGCTTCGGTGTTCCATCAATCAGGATATTCCGTTTGAAATTAAATCGTCTTCTCTGAACTTTTACACTATTGTGACAGACCGTGTTTTGGACCGAGAAACGATTTCTGAATATAATATCACAGTCATTGCCAGAGATGAAGGTTCTCCGCCTTTGTCGAGTAATAAGACAATCAGTTTGAAACTATCCGATGTGAATGATAATGCACCAGTTTTCAAGAGAAATGTATACACTTCTTATGTGATGGAAAACAACTCCCCTGGTTTATCGGTATTTTCAGTCAACGCAGATGATGCTGACTGGGGGCATAATGCTAAAATCTCTTACTTTCTAGAAGAAACAAAATATAATGGAATTCCGGTATCCTCGTATATTTCCGTGAACGCAGAAAGTGGCACGGTCTATGCTGTGCGCTCTCTTGACTATGAGCAAATTAAGGATTTCAAAATTAACATTAGAGCTCAAGACGGGGGCTCTCCACCCCTCAGCAACAACGTAACTGTTCATATATTTGTCCAAGATCAGAACGACAACTCTCCACAGGTCCTCTACCCAGTGCACACTGATGGCTCTCTGGTGGCTGAAATGGTGCCTCGTTCAGCAGATGCTGGCTATCTTGTCACTAAAGTTGTAGCTGTTGATGCTGACTCTGGACAGAACGCCTGGCTCTCGTATAAACTGCTGAAAGCGACAGACAGGGCGCTGTTTGAAGTGGGATTACAGAACGGAGAAATAAGAACTTTACGTCAGGTCACTGATAAAGACGCTGTGAAACAGAGGCTTGTTGTTGTAGTGGAGGACAACGGGCAGCCCTCTCGTTCAGCTACAGTGAATGTGAACGTGGCGGTGGCGGACAGCTTCCCTGAAGTGCTCTCGGAATTCAGTGACTTCTCACAGGACAAGGATTACAACGACAACCTGACTTTTTATTTAGTCTTGTCCTTGGCTGTCGTTTCCTTTCTTTTTATAGTTTCAATCATAGCCTTGCTGTCAGTAAAGTTCTATAAATGGAGACATACTAAGCTGTTCTATCACTCCAATGCGAATCTTCCCGTTTTTCCAAGCGCGCACTATCCACCGCATTACGCAGACGTTGGTGCAACCGGAACCCTGCAGCACGTGTACAATTACGAGGTGTGCTTGACCACTGACTCGAGAAAAAGCGATTCCAAATACGTCAGACCTTGTCATGACAGTACAGTTAATGTTGAACCCAGTGGCACAGGGACACTACAGAAGGAACAAACTATGAAGCAGGACATACAGCTAAGTTCAGAGGTGAGCTTTCTCCACTTAATTATTAAACAAATATTCTTCAGCAGTTCTTTACAAGTTGTTAGTATTAAACGGATCGTATCTTACCTGATCTGTTTACTGTATATCGTTTGTTAATAGTGTTCTGTGTTAGATTTCCACGTCTTTTCTCTTTCTCTAGCACTACACCATATCATTGTCGAGCCAGACATTCATGCAAATCAAAGATAGGTTTGATTAAATCAGTAATGTTAAATAAGCCAGTTCTTTGAATCATTCGCGGTATTTGGTATTTTACAAGTTGCATTCATTTGCATCTTTAATTGCAATAAACATAAATTCGTTTTTTCTTTCATGATACCTGTTTTTTATAATGTTATGTGTTCTTAGGGTTATCTAAAACAGAGAACGTTAGATACTGTACACACAAAAACATACAAAACCATGTTTGAGTCTAACAAGGTGTGCAGTTCTATATTTGTACCCTAAGTGCCGCTGTTCATCAGTGGTGATATTCTGCAAACTAATAGGACAGGACCTCCCATCTTCCTGCGCTGTGTACGGCAGATATACAGACATCTTGCATTATGCTTTGTGCTTCAATTACAGAACAGAAACTGTGTGACGAAAATAGGTTTTAGACTGCACAGAAAACGTGATAATCATTTCAAGACCTTTATCCGGGTTTCTTGTTTTTATTGTGGATTTTAGTGTTACACGACTTCGCTTTTCGCAGTATACTCAACTTGGTATTTAGTCGACGTGATATCGCCATGAGAAAGAAAAGCTGGACCTTAAAATTGCAAGTATCTCTCATTTTTGTCTGTGCGTTTTTGGCTGACATGATATGTGGGCAGGTTCGATATTCCATACCAGAAGAAATGGTGGTGGGTTCTTTCGTCGGTGATATTGCAAAAGATTTGGGACTGGATCTTAAAAGGCTGATGGACAGAAGAGCTCGGATATTTACCGCGGGCAGCAGTGAGTATGTGGAACTGGACAAGCAAAGCGGGCATTTGATTGTTAAAGAGAGAATAGACAGGGAACAGTTATGCGAAAAAATATCTGCGTGTAGTTTTAGTTTCGAGATCATTCTCGAAAATCCGATGGAGCTGCATCGTATTACCGTGGAAATACTGGATATTAATGACAATTCCCCTCTATTTCCGAAGAATAAAATTGAGTTGAAAATAAGCGAATCCGCACTACCAGGAGCACGATTTTCACTGGAAAGTGCCGTAGACCCAGATGTGGGAACTAATTCTCTCCAAAGCTACTCCCTTGTACCCACTGATCATTTCAATTTAAATATTCACAGTCGTTCGGGTGGTAGTAAAAACGTAGAAATGGTGCTCCAAACTGCTCTGGACAGAGAAATGTATGAAGAGCATTATTTGACATTGACTGCAACCGATGGCGGAAATCCTCAGAGATCTGGCACGGTTAAAATCCATATAAGTGTTCTAGATGCCAACGATAATGCTCCTTTGTTTAGCCAGTCTGTTTACAAAGCCTCGGTGCCAGAAAACGCAGTAAAGGGTACAATGGTAACTACAGTAAGTGCAACAGACGCGGATAAAGAATCCCACGGCTATGTACAATACTATTTTGAGCACGTTTCACCCAACATCAGAGAAGTCTTTGAAATAGATCCCAGTACTGGTGAAATAAGAGTGGTAGGCCAATTAGACTTTGAGAAATGTAAAGTGTATGAGATAAAAATTCAAGCAATAGATCAGGGCAGTTTAACAGACTCCACTGAGGTAGTAATTGATGTTATTGATATTAATGATAATATGCCTAAAATAGCGCTAATGTCATTCTCAAGCACCATAGCTGAAGATTCAGTGCCTGGTACAGTAATAGCCATGATTAATGTCCAGGATCTTGACACGGGAAAGAACGGTCAAGTTACCTGTTCCATTGATAGAAATCTGCCATTCAAAATAGAATCGTCTTTGACGAACTATTACAGTTTGGTGACTGACACAAGTCTGGATAGGGAACAGACCTCCCAATATAACATTACAATCACTGCTGCTGACGAGGGTGTTCCATCACTAACAAGTAAACAGACATTAACCATAACAATATCCGACGTCAACGACAATGCGCCTGAATTCGATCAGGAAGTATTTAGCGCATATGTGATGGAAAACAATTCACCTTCATTATCTTTATTTTCTTTAAAAGCCAAAGACGCAGATCTGGGACCCAATGCTCGTATTTCATACTTTATTGTAGAAAACACTTTAAGTGACATACCACTGTCGTCTTATATTTCAATAAACATAGACAGTGGAACACTCTATGCCGTGAGACCTTTTGATTATGAAAAGGTCAGGGATTTCAAAATTGTTGTTAAAGCTCAAGACGGTGGCTCTCCACCTCTTAGCAGCAACGTGACTGTAAATATTTTTGTCCAAGACCAGAATGACAACTCTCCACAGGTCCTCTACCCAGTGCACACTGATGGCTCTCTGGTGGCTGAAATGGTGCCTCGTTCAGCAGATGTTGGCTATCTTGTCACTAAAGTTGTAGCTGTTGATGCTGACTCTGGACAGAACGCCTGGCTCTCATATAAACTGCTGAAAGCCACAGACAGGGCGCTGTTTGAAGTGGGATTACAGAACGGAGAAATAAGAACTTTACGTCAGGTCACTGATAAAGACGCTGTGAAACAGAGGCTTGTTGTTGTAGTGGAGGACAACGGGCAGCCCTCTCGTTCAGCTACAGTGAATGTGAACGTGGCGGTGGCGGACAGCTTCCCTGAAGTGCTCTCGGAATTCACTGACTTCTCCCAGGACAAGGATTACAATGACAACCTGACTTTTTATTTAGTCCTGTCTTTGGCAGTAGTGTCCTTTCTTTTTATTGTTTCCATCATAGTCTTCTTGTCTGTGAAGTTTTACAGATGGAAACATACTAGGCTGTTCTATCAATCCAATGGGAATCTCCCTGTTATTCCAACTGCATATTGCCCACCTTATTATGCAGATATTGGTGGTACCGGAACTCTGCAGCGCATGTATAATTACGAGGTGTGTTTGACAACTGACTCCAGAAAGAGTGATTTCAAGTGTGTCCGGCCATGTAGTGACAGTACTGTTAATGTTGCCCCCAGTGGCATGGAAACAGTACAGAGGGAAAACAATCTGAAGGAAGACTCAGGCCTTAGCACAGAGGTGAGTCATTTCTAATCGTTCAGTGCACCAAATATTCTCATTTCAGGAAAGTTAAGAAAACGTTTATTTGTTCTGTATATTGATATCCTGATGTAATCTTGTTGTTCCTTTTCTTTTGTTTCTTTCACTTTTACTTCATTTCTAAAAAGTTAGTTTAAAACATTTTAAACCTTGAACAATAACTCAGTTGAAGATAGTGGATACAGATTTAGGTGGAATTAGATTCCAAGTTTTGGTGATTTATGTTATGACAATTTTCTACATTTTTGCCCAATTTTAATTGTGGAGTGCAGGTGTGAGTGTGTGAAAGATAGTTAATAGATCTCTTAACTGTCTTAACCAGCTGGTTACTCTCTTGATGTGACATGTTTAACAGATTCTCTTGACTCTTCATGGGCAATTTTAAAGAGACATGCTGTAGAAAACCTGTAGACACACAGGCCATCCAGGACCTGTGTAGGCCTCCTTTGTGTGATCATCATATATTCACTTTTAACATAGATATAGATAGTACAAATTCATTATTTATGTATATAGAACATGTACTTTAACTACCTCAATTATAAAGTCAGTGAAGTTCATATAGTTAAAGTACATTACATATAAATTGTTATTTTGAAAGACAGTCAATGAAGACATTTTTACTTTGACAGTTAGACAGTCATTCAGTATGCATATACAGCTTCTTTGTACAAACAGTATTTGAACGTCAGACCTTATGATTTTTATTCATCTTTTATTTTAACTGTGTAAATTTGATATAAATTTTGAAAATCACCACTATATCCCACTATATATGCCTTTAGTACAGACGCATGAATAAGCACATCAGGGGGCATACAGTGAAATTCATGAATTATGCACAACATTCAGGGCAAAATTCAAGTGATCACAAGTTTATTTCGGAACTGAAAGGAGTATAAAATAAATACACTGCTCCCAAACTACTGCCTTAAAATACACTTACCTCCACTTTTATACAAGCCTGTTGTCACTATTATACAGTATATTCATCTACAGTATGTGCATGTAAATCTACACAGACTAATGTAAAGACAGTCACACTTAACACTGTGAAAGTGTGCATTTAAAGTGCATTATATTGAGGGTGATTATGCTGTGCAATTGGTTTCGTGTCATTTATAATGTTAGTTTTTGCGTTGGTTGACAGGTTGTTAATTGCAGAACTTTAAAATTAAAGCCCTTGTTTCCAAATAGAGTTTGCTAATAAACAGTAAACTACGGAATATATTCTCAATGTATGTTCTGTCTCCTTTATCAGTACAGAATCAGGCACAGACGGTGTGAATTGGATGTAATGCTAAAATTATGATAGTGTCTGCATGATTAAATCGGTTTTCAAAAGTTCGTTTGTAAAATAGATTGCAGTAAAAATGTGTTTCATAGCTTTCTTCTCCTCAGGTAAATATATTTCTTGATGAATCTCCTATACAAATTACTATAATACTTATACTGTTGTGTATGTCATTCTGTGTTGCATCTACAGTATAGTCATCACGCAGACAAGTGGTTTGGTCAGGAAAATAGCTTCTGAAATGAAATACAAATTGTGTTGAGGAAAGCAAGTCAGCATTAGTCCAAAATAGTACAGGTTCAATATGTTGGTCACTTTGCAACTACATACAGTATATCCTAAATACCGTCACTGCCATTTGGTTTTGGACCATGTCAGAAGCCACATTCTGTTAAATCAGATAAATTGTTATGGTATATTTAACCCACAAACCAATTAATAAGTTCATTAGAATAATTTGGTAAATATTTAGTTATTTGTATTCTGTGTAGTTTATATTTTTAGGCAAAACCTAATTTAGGCCAAATGTCACTAAAAAGTAAAGCTTTAAAAGAGGCTGGTAGGTTTGCTGTAGTTTTGTTTGGTTTTGGTCCAATTTCTTTATTTATTATTTATTCTAGTGAAGAAAAGGATTCATTAATGTGTAGGGAAAGTGTTTAAGAAAATGTTGGTAATGTACCAATTTGAAACTGGAGATAAAGGTACAGTACTGTTGTAAAGAAAACCAACTCCATCCATCCATTTTCTAACCTCTTCCTTCAAATTAGGGTCAATGGAGAGCCAAAGCCTATCATGGCCAGCAATGGGCGCAAGGTGGGGTACACCATGGACAGGGCACCAGTCCATCGCAGGGCACACACAGACACAAACATACACACACTCACACTACGGCCAATTTTGCCAGAAGCAAATGAACCTGTGAGAATGTATTTGGACTGTAGGAGGAAACCAGAGAGCCTGGAGGAGACCCGGAGTAACACAGGCAGAACTTGATAACTCCAGGCAGGTCGCATCCCAGGTCACAGTTGAATGTAGGGCCCCAGCGCTGTGAGGCAGCAATGCTAACCCCTCTGCTACCATGCCATCGGCGAAGCAAGTCACACTAAACTCTTTTCTCTGGTTTTCACAATTGGCAATAACTTGCATCCTATCGCATTATATCCTATGTAAGAGCAATAAAGAACACTGAAGTGCAGCAAACTGGGATTTAATTTAATAGCCACATTCACCAGCATTTTTTTCCAGCATGCCACAAAGCAGCTGGAACATTAGAAAATGTTAGTGATTTGGGGTTTCACTTGATATTTTGCAAAGAACATACATTTTTCACCACAGTTAGCACAATGGCTTACGTAAAGCTCACACTATGAACATGGATACATAATTCAACACGTCCTTTGCAAAGATAATACTTCCTTTAGCACAGTTCCCTTTGGCACTATGCTAAGGGATTGGACTGAATTGTATGTCTCATTGAGAATAATGCCACCTCCTGGTCCACAGGCAGCAATTCCACAAGTAAACTGAACTCCCTGAGAGGCCTGCTATCCAGAAACTGATATCAATGCATGTGTAGGTTCTGAGGTCAGGGCTCAGAAAGGTATCAACCATTGTGGAACTGATTTTCTGTTTTTTGCTGATTTAAAGTTTCAAATTCGAACCAAAAACAAAAAACACACAAAATTCTCCCTCCCCCATACATTATTCCAATTGTTGGATGTAGATATACAGTTTGTTGCAGATTTTGTAGCGGTTTACCCACTATTACAAATTGAATAGCAAAACCATTACACAGTGGAAAGAAAAAACATTTTTAGAATTGCATTTCAGCTAGAAGTGCTAAATTCCAGTATAATAAAAAAGCAGGTCATTCTGTCTCAGTAGTGAATAGTTGTTAGGATTAACACAGAAATTTCCTTTGAGGCTGTGATTGAAAATTGACTAGTGTAATTGAGGGCTGGTTCCGTTTGTAAGTGTTACAATACATTAATGTACACTCTGCAGATAGAAAAGCAGAATCAATTTGAAACATGCATCAGTATATCAATATCTTAGCTTAACATCTACTTCTAAAAAAGCACTGCTATTGCAGTCCTGTCTGTGTTGCATTGTTGATCAGATTTACAATACAATGCAACATGAACAGGACTGCAACAGAGATAGTAGGGTTGTTTATTGCCATATGTACACATACATTGGAATTCTTAATCGCTCTGATCTCTCGGGACATACACAGAACAACAGACAACACTACACAATGTAGACAACAGGAACAATAAATATACAGTGGAAAAATAAATAAATATGTAGTAGTGAGACAGAAACAAAAGTGTAAACTATGTAAAAAATGCAGAATGCAGATGTGGGTTGAGTCTCAGGCCCTGCAGTTAGCTGTTGTTGAGGATGCGCACTGCAGTGGGATAGATGCTGTTCTTAAGTGTAGTGGCCCTTGCTTAAACAGTGCGGTACTGCTTGCCAGAGGGTACGGGGGAGAACAGTTTGTGGCAGGGATGGTTGGGATCCTGAATGATGGATTGGGGTTTTTGATGGTACAGTAAATCACATCCTATGATCCTCTGTGCTGTTCCCATAACCCTTTGTAGTGCATAGCAGTGCTTTTCTAGCCTTCATCATTTAGCTTTTGAGTGTGCCTTCTGTTACTTATTAATAGTAAAATTCCAGCAATAGACTCTGTGGTTGTCACATTATAGCAAGCATGTGGGGGGAGGGGAAGGGAGCAGATGTTTCACCCAGAGATTCTACAAATGTAGTGAACTAACTGTGATTTAGGACCCACTGTAGACTGATATACATTTCTTGCATTTATAGAAACTAGGTGTTGTACTAGCTTACTCCAAAAAGATGGCACACTGGTTTGTTGTTTCACCTTTGCAAATAATTTCTTAAGATTTTTATAGATGAGTGCTAGGGAGAGTTAATTTCCAGTTTTTCAAGCATCTTGAAATGTGTTTAAATGTTTGTTTGCTAAACATTCAGTAATGGCATGTAACTGAAGCTTTTAAAAGTTAACCATAGCTTTATTGTTTGAGTGACAAAGAGAACTGTATACAGTATATAATGTGTTGGTACTGTATATTATCTTAATGTACTTGCAATGACTTGTGTACTATTGGTGTCATGTTTGTACAGTAATTTTTCAATTCAATTTCATTTATAGAATCTATATTATTGAAAGAGATTTTCTATTACTTGGTGTTCAAATGGCCCTGTTAGATACTTCCTTGCAGTGATTTCAATAAACTTTGCTTATAAACAACCTTCAGAAAGGTTCAGCTATTTCTATATACTTAATTAAAAGCTTGCAGAATGTAATGTTGAATGCCAGTTGAAAATAACATACTGTAGGTACAAAAAGTTTAATAGGAGAATAAAATTAATACACTGCTTCTAAACTACCACCTTAAAATACACGTACCTGTACATTCACTCTGATACAAGCTTGTTGTCACTAATATACAGTATATTCATGTACCATATGTGCATGAAATTTACACAGATTAATGTAAAGACAGTCACACTTAACATTGTAAAAGTGTGCATTTAAAGTGCATTATATTGTAGGTGATTATGCTGTGCAATCGGTTTCACGTCATTTATAATGTGAGTTTTTACCAATGTTGTTTGACAGGTTGCGAATTGCAGAATTAAAGCCCTTGTTTCCAAA